ACCCGAGGGGCCCTTTAGAAAATATGACAGGCGAAGGGGTACGGGCGATCTCCACCGTTGGATTAGATTTGAGCGGTCTGGATTAGAAACAGGGAGAGAGAAGAGTGGGTTGGCCGACCGGACGGTGAGTCTAGGCGGCGGCGCCATGGCCGGAATTGGCCGATGCTCGTCGATACGACGGCTCTGACCACTATCGGGCACGGGAAAAGGACGGGAAACAAGAGTAAGGCACTGTGAATCCATCTAGGGGATCATAAGATGCTATGACGGCACGGGGACGAGCTAGAGCTCGGTATGGCAGATCGGGTTCGCCGGAGATCTACAGTGACATGGATACAAGCATAGAAGGCAAGGGAGAAGGCATGAGAGACACCTGCAGGTTACTCACCTTCTCGCGAAGCTCGGAGATGTGGACGCGGTGGTGGAGGAGCGGTGAATCGACCTCAGCGACGGACCTCCTATGGCTCTACTAGGGCTCGGATTCATACGGCTGGCTCTCGGCTTCTATGAGGAGGCGGCGCGGGCGCGGTTGCTACTTATGAGGGTGGTGGGGGCTTGCGGTGCACGCACATCAGGGCGGAGTCGGGGCGAGCACGGACTCCTGGCCAGAGTCATGGCCAGCTCAGACATGAGCTAGAGGAAGAAGAAGACCCTGCCGCGTGGGCCTGGAATGTCTGCGAATGAAGAAGCGCGGCCGGGCTGCGGTCGAACCAAGAGAGAGGGAAGCGGCTCGGCTGGCCTTGATGGGCGGTCTGCTTGCGCGGGCTGCGCGAGAGAAAGGGGAAGGATGCTGTAGCTCTGCTGGCTCTGGGCTGGAGCTGGCTACTCGGGCCAAAATCAAGGAGAGAGAGAAGAAGAGTAGAACTCCTTTTCTATTTTCTTAACACAATTTCAAATCTAATTTTAAACTCAAATTCAAATTCTTTTGCAAATTCCAATCAAACCAAAGCATCACAACATAAAGGCAAATTTTGGGCTGGCACACTAGGGAAACGTTGTTTTGGCTGCGGCACACCGCCAACTGTGTTATTGGCTGAGACACATTGCGAATTTGGGTTCCTTTGTTGTAACACACTGCTGTGATAAACAATCATTTTCCACGGTTTTGGATGAGAGAACTTTTAGAAATGACAATGGGTGCCCTGGGTCGACTTGACTTGCTGGTTGACCTAGTTGCTCTTGCAATTCCCCATCCCCAGCGCCATCAGTCTCACCGCCGCCACCGGTTTAGCGTCGCCCTCCTCTCTCACACCAGGCCTCCTCCTTGTCGCAATCGGTGCCACCTTCCTCTCCGCAGCTATGTGTCCATAGATCCAAGCAGTGGAGTTGGACGAGATGGCACCAGAGAAAGGGGAGAATCGCTTGGGACCGAGGAATGAATCGCCATCGAAGGGCCTAAATCTTGGTTGGGTTCTAGAAGGGTAAGCATTTTTGGCCATTTGATGTGCAAGTTGTTCAATTAACTATTTCAGTGTATCTCCATCAAGTGATTTGGTTCTATTTGGCGTTATCAATATGCATTAAAGCCTCGGTCGATTTAGGGTTTCAATTATGAATCACTTTTCATTGTTCCCTACCATTTGTTTCATTTGTTTTAGGATGGATAGTAGTTCGACGTGTAGAATTGCTGCGCGTGTTCCAAATTATGTCGAGGTTTGCGATGATGGTAGTCATGTAGTGCACCCAGATTCAAATCTTGAGCTTGTTGTTGATCGTGATTCAACCAACTTGATGGACCTAAAAGATGAAATAGCAAAGGGAGTGAAGCATGGTTCGAATCAAGGAATATCAATTTGCTATTGGAACAGGACTGTGTCCGCTTTCACCAATGTAACTTCTGATGCCAGCTTGATGGATGCAATGGACATGTATTGGGAGATGAGGAGGTTGCCTCTGTTTGTGGCAGTTTATGAAACAGTGACAGTTGAGCACAGCCAAAGTGTATCTATTGAACCTTCTGCACATCATGTCGGCAGTGCTAGTGTTGCCACAGAGCCCCTCCCTCTGGCTTTGATTGAGTCTGTTGCTGAGGATGAGACAGAAGATGTCGTAGCTAACAATGCAGAGACAAGGACTACCAAAACCAAGGCTAAGTCTAAGAGAGGTAAGGGAAGGAAAAGGGATCTCTCAGATGATGAGGAACCATGGGATGAGGATGAGGTAGAATATGTGGGTCTAAATGATGAGCATCCGTATTTATCTGATGTTGAAGAATAGCTAGAACATGAGGGGCAATCAACTGATGGTGACTGTAGTGAGTTGGATGACCTTTTTGTTGATGATGAAGCTGGATGTGAGATTGTTGAACATGTGACTGACCTGGAGAACCCAACCATTGCTCTTGGTGTCACATTTGAAGATGGAGATACTTTTAAGAGGGCAATTAGGCAGTTTGTTGTTCTTAATGAGTTCAAAATTGATGCACATTACAGTGAGGCTAAAAGGTACAAAGAGTTCTACAAGGGCAGAAGTAGCAAAAAGAAGAAGTGTAGGTGGAGGATTCATGCTTCTGAGCTATAGGATGGCAAGACATGGCAGGTCATCATACCTACTTTTAACTATGTAATTTACAGTTATATGCGGTGTATTGTTTGTTTCATGCCCTTGTAAGCTGATTTAGCCCTTCTTTTTTGTTGCAGATAAAAAAGCTCCATGCTAAGCATAACTGTGCTAGCACTTCCAAGCTTGACCAGAACTGCATGGCTACTAACAAATGGGTCAGAGATAGAGTCATTGACATTCTTAGGGATCAACCAAATACTGGAGCTGTAGAACTAAAGAAAGATCTGGAGAAGAAGTTCAAGATCATGCTATCTTACTACGTGGTTTGGGATGGGAGAATGTTGGCTCTAGAGCAAATAATGGGAAAGTGGAATGACAATTTTGCTGATGCTTTTAGTTTCAAAGCAGAGGTAGAGAGGACCAACCCTGGAAGCATAGTGGAGATAGAGTATGCTCCTGTTGGTAAAAAGATGAGGTTTACTAGGATGTTTCTTGCATTGAAGGCTTGTGTAGATGGGTTTCTCAATGGTTGCAGGCCATTTTTAGGTGTTGACTCCACTGTTTTGACAGGAAGGTGGAGGGGTCAATTGGCATCAGCTTCAGCAGTTGATGGTCACGGCTGGCTATTTCTAGTTGCATATGGGGTGTTTGAGTCAGAGTCCACAGATAGCTAGAAGTGGTTTTTTGAAAAGCTTTAGACTGCAATAGGCTCACCTCCTGGACGTGTGATATCCACAGATGCAGGCAAGGGTATAGATAGTGCAGTTACAGCTGTGTTTTCAAATGGAGTGGAACATAGAGAGTGTATGAGGCATCTAGTGAAGAACTTTCAGAAGAGGTATAGAGGGGCTATTTTCAAGAAACACCTTTGGCCTGCATGTAGAGCTTTTAACAAGAAGCACTATGATCATCACTACAAGACCATGCAGAAAGCTTCTCCAAATGCAATAAAATGGATAGAGGAGAACCACAAACATTTGTGGAACAGGTGGAGATTCTCATCGGATAGCAAGTGTGACTATGTCACAAACAATATTGCAGAGACATTTAATAGTTGGATCAGAAAGGAGAAAGCACAACCAGTCATCCCACTGATGGACAGGATAAGGCAGATGATCATGGAGAAGCATGACCTTAGAAGAAGGTTATCCAACAAGATGACAGACAAGATCCTTCCTAATGTAACTAAAGATCTGAATGCAAAAAGCAGAAACCTGAACTATGTCATTCATAGAGGACACAACAACACAGCTGAGATTCAAGGCACAACTAAAGAGCTGAAGACCTGGAGACACACTATTGATCTAGATAACAGAACATGTAGTTGTAATAGGTGGCAGATCACTGGGCTCCCCTGCACTCATGCCCTTTGCTTCATTAACTCACTGAGAAACAAGAGTGCAGAGGACTATATTGATGACTACTACTCTGTTGATGTGTTCAAGAAGGCATATGCCGGAATTGTAATGCCTATGACAGGTAGGAACCAATGGCCCAAGGTAGACATGGGTTTCAAACTGTGGCCACCAATCCTAAAGAGGGCAGCTGGCAGACCTAGAACAAGAAGGATAAAGGGTGCAGAAGAAGGAGGGAGAACCAGTGGAATGAGACAGTGCAAGAGGTGTGGACAATTTGGTCACATGATGAAGACTTGTAATGAGACAGTGTATGACAGTGATGCTCCACCTCCAGCCGCACCTAAGCCAAAAAAAGAGAGGAACAAAAAGACAAAGGCTGCAAGCACTGCATCAACCCAACAATCCCAAACTGGAGCATGTTCCATCACCATTACAGCCCCACTACTAACCAACAGTCCTGTAGGCAACACTAGGAGGTTACATATCTCACTACCCTTGAACTTGTAACAATTTGCTTCTACTGTACTAATGTCTTTCATTTGTTAACAGTCGCAAGAGGAAGATGGAAAGAGATGGTGCAGAATCCACTGATGGACAGAGTACGAAGGGAGTGAATGGAAAAAAGGTAAAACAATGCAAGGGAGACAAGGTGCAGCCGAAGAAAGATCTAGGCAAGGCCAAGAAGCAGCTGGTGATGGATGTGCTTGTTGAGTGAAATAATTGCAAGTGTAGTGTTTGCAACCTGCTGATGATGCTTTTGGAAGATGACTTCTAATGTTGTCTAGAACTATGCTTTTGTAGCCTTTGTAATGTAATCAGCCATAATTGGCCTAAATTCAGACTTTTCTTTGTTATGTGACTTGGCTATAAGCCAAACTTGAAGGCTTAAATTCAGACTTGTCGCTGTTATGTAACTTGGCTTGAAGCCAAACTTGATGGCTTGTAATGTTAAGACTAAATTGACTTGCACTTGATCTATTTTGTAGTTGCCATGCACTGAAACACATACACTTCATTGATAACCAAATTAGAACATCAGAACATACAGTAGCATTCATTGACACATAAGGGAGGCATAAGTGATAGACATCAACTAAAAGTTCATACAGGATGCCTACATTAACTCTGACAAATCAATGCTCACTTCACTAACGCCACCAAGAGAAGTAGCACTACAATGAACATAATTGCTAGACCTAAAACAAGCAAACGATCGCCTATCTTGTCGATGTTGCTCCCTATTGACTGATTGGCATCAACAATTTTCTTCAAAGCGGCATGTGCATCCTTCATAGATGCGGTTGTGCTTTCTAACATGGTAGTGCATCCTCCAATTGATTCCTTCAAAGACTCCATGGCTTGAATCAGCTCCTGAGAGGACATCCTTGGATCCATGGCTTGAGTCAACCCCAGAGACGGCGACCCTCTACCGATCTTTGAGAAACATCGTGGAAGCTTGGATTTACCGATGAGGTACTCAACGTATTGGTCCTCCCACATGTAGAACTAACAAAAGAAGATGAGGAACAATGCTCGGATGAAATCGGCCATACAACTACATCAATAGGCGGATAAAATTGCAGATCTACCAACTTACATGGTTAATTAGAGGACACTTGTAGAACTTCTGCCCAAAGCTCTTGTCCTGCTTCGACACTAGGCCAATCAATTGAGCTCCACACTTGCTGCAATCGACCAGGGGAAGGTTGCTTGTGCCATCCCTAAACGCGTCCAAAGATGGCGCGCTCGAGGCAGCCTCTGTCTTCGAGCTCGAAGCCATCTTCCCCTCCTGTCGGGGCCTCGAGTACTAGGGTTTCACAGGACAAGAGCGAGAGAGAGAAGAGAGGAAGACGACCGACTGGGGAAGAAGAAGAAGACGGTGTGGGGTATGAGGCAGCGACCGGGTGGGGCTTATTGGGTTGGGTCGCACCACTTGACTCAGCCAGGGGCAAACTCATACAGTCACCTAATGTTCTCTGTCCAAAACCAGGGAAAATGATTGTTTACTGCGCGCGATGTGTTACAACAAAGGAACCCGAATTCGCAATGTGTCTCAGCCAATAACGCAGTTGGCGGTGTGCCGCAGCCAAAACAACGTTTCCCCAGTGTGCCAGCCTAAAATTTGCCCAACATAAATATGCAGCAGCATTGATGCACACATATGTATGTAGACCTATATTTGATTTTATTTTTAACAATGTTATTATTTTTCTAAATTTAAATGCTCACAAAATACATAATTAAATCAATTTAACTATTTTAAATTGATGAAATTTTAGGGTGTTACACCTTCACCTAATTTTTCTGGCCCTGGCAATTTTTTATGATATATTTCCTTCACAGGATACAAAGTGTAAGCGCTATTGAGGTTGACATCATAGGTTTGGACGCTGCCGCCTCTATTAATAGAAAATGGCCGTCTCTGAAAATACTTCCTGTAGTAATCAAGATATAACAGAAGTCAACACAACAAAAGGTAGTATATGTAAAGGTTTCATGTGTGCGCATTTCACATTTGGCCCTGGTAGGACATATAAACCATTGAGGAGATGTGAAGCTAGGGGTTCTTGAATTTTACTCAAAATAAAATTCTCCAAACAATATTTAATCAAGAAGGGAAGAAATACTTGTATCATACTATATCTCAACTCACAAGAGCTTAGAAAACATCTACGTATTTGAGAACTTTCCCATGAGATTTGAGTGCTAATCAAGAAGGTTAAACTTATGCAAGCCAATCAAGTAAGAAGCAAAGTTGTGCTCAAGTTACTTTCCATATTCAAGATTCAAGAAAGAAAATGATTCCATTAAAGCAAAACAATATTATGCATGAATCTTAATGGGTGAGAGAGGGAGGGTGCAAACAAGCGTATGGTAAGAGGTAGAAGATGAATGGCCACCTGCTGTGGTCAACCTTGGCCAGACCGTTTGGATAAGGTTTGTGGTTTCCCACGTTGTGCTGTCTGATCAAGAAGTCTTGATTCATGGTACCCCCTTCATTCTATTTTTTAGGCGCAAGAGGTGGAATCTCAGATACCAAGATGAGTGGTTCCAAAAAAAAATACCAAGATGATGGTTGGCTTCTTTAATTTTGCTTGCATGCATCAGCGCCCCCTCAGTTCCCTCCGCATGCATGCATTAGGATTGGCTACAGTAATTAAGCATGCGCTGGCCGCTTGGTTTCCCTTCGCATGCATGAATGGGATTGATTGCGCTAATTAAGCATGTGCCCACGGATTCCTCGGTAATTAGTTCACGACTTAGGCCAGTGGAGGGTTTTATGTCTAGTTTTCAAGACTCAGTGTGTTGGAAACTATGTAGAGGAAGTTTCATCCCATGAATCTTTTACCGTTTCTCTCTTCATTTATAGCACCCCTCCCATCTCTTAATCGAGTGTTGAGTTTCTGCAGTTGCATATGTCTAGTAAATGATATAATTAGTGTACTATTGGAACAATTACCGATCAGTGTGCAACTACTTCAGTTAATGAAGGGTAGTATGGTCTTTTCTCTATCATACTCATATGTCAAAATCTATTTATTTAGGGACATAGACTAAGCTAGTTTGACAACTCTCAAATATTTGTAAAATCTGAACATGAAGTTTGAGCTATAAAACACCACAAACAGATAATACTCTTTTATACGTTTAATGCAACTTGAAATGATGGCGACAAAAGGTGAAAGTGAGTCTTAAGAAACTTACCTCTTTCTTAAGTCAAAAGTGAAAATGCCAAGAAAACAATTAGCAATAAATAATGCATGTGAATAGGGAAGACATGGCAAAGTTACCGAACAACTCAAGTTGAATGGTTAAACAACTTTTATAATTATGAGCATGATCAAAGCCCAACTTAAAATGGGTTTAAAAAACCAAAACCCTAAGTGCTGATATGTTATGGTGATGCAGCGTTGAAGCCTTGAAGGCGGTATAATTCAGGTTTTTCTCTAAATACTTAACAAAGTGACAAACGTGAAATTTCCAGTATAAATCATGTGCTTCAATGTAGGCTAAAGGCAAGTTAAATCTTGGGATCGGAGTAAAAACACTTCAAACTTGAAATCCAAGTTCGAATAGTATACTTAAACATAACACTAAGGGCTATTGTCCCAAGTCTGAAAACAATATGGTGGAGCAGTGTTTAGAGCCTATTCTAAAGACAACATATTTCATATATAATCTTTTCAAAGTTTTTGAAACCAGAGATGTTATGTTCTAACCCCTATTTGAAATGGCATAGGACTTGAAGAGAGATAACTAGTTTGGATAATTTCCTAAACCTTTGAAGTTAACTACACATTGCAGTCATCTAACACTTCGAGAAAATTTCCAAGTCTCTAAACAACAGCATCAAACATTACAAAAACTAGAACTTGTTGAGCACACCTGAGCTCCAAACTAGAACTTGTTGTACACTATACTATGAAGGTGACATGCAAGGTGATCGATCTTGTTAAAGTCTCAACTCGTCTAATAAAGTTGGCGTCAAACATTACAAAAACTCACATAATTCAGCACTGCAATTACAGATATGAAACGTGGATTTGGCAAAAATTCGGAGCTTTGTATCTCTCAAACTGTTAACTTCTCCACTGTGGCATTTAAACAAGTTTTTTAGGACAGCTAACCATCTTCAGTTCATATTTAGACCGATCGACGAGTTATTAAATGATTTCGCCAGAAATTTGAGGCCAAAATCGTTAACATTGGCGGTCTGCTGGGTCGAGCTCTGAACGGCCGTTGCCCCGACCGGCGTCAGGCCGCTGCCACCACGCGCCCAACACTGTCAGCTGCGGTCGACACGTCGTGCCCACAAGTTGATGCCTCGCTCTCGCGTCCTACCCCAGTCGCCCTTCTGCTGCCGAGTGGGGGAGCAGGTGCGTGTGAGTACTGAGTAGCGCTCTCTCTGATGATGTTGTGGCGAACGGCGGGAAGAAGCAGAGGCTTAAAGAGCAGATGGGTGGGCCGGTGGTCATCACCAAGGAAGCCATGGCCCAGGAAGCCAAACGTGAAGACGTTCCAGAGAGAGCGGATGAGCAGATATGATGATTAATAATAATAAAGTTTACGTTTGCTTTAACTATTATGTATAAAAACGAAGACGCCCCATCATTCGCGCTTGCTTGAGACCAAGGCTCACTTGTACGATTACTAGTAGATTTGGCCCCGGTGAACAAATTGAGTATATGTTGTTTTGATGTGAAAACAAATAAAAGAAAAGCTAGGAGAGATACATTTAGACATGTGTGCGCTGAAATTATAGTTTCTGCAGTTCAGAATCAAGTGATAATTTTGCCTATTAAAGGAGGCTTAGATAAAAGAGAATACTAAGTAAAAATTGAGGTGTGGGAGGTTGAGAAACAGAAAATACCAAGGTGTAAGATACAGTGGCAATTTTCGTTACGAACCATAAACGACACTCACAAATCACTGAATATCTGATCGACTTCCCAGAAACAGAATAAGAACAGATATAACATTTATTCATTAAGCCTTGAACGATGTTTGTACATATATCTAGGATGTACATTTGTATAAAAAATATTTACGGAGGCGAAAGCTGAGAGCCTGAGATCATGTGTGTACTAAATTAATCTACCAGGACGTAGTGTCCCTAACTCTTTTCATTCTGCTGTAAACGAGTCAATTCATAACTAGATAGCCGCTAACTCTTCTACCTGCTGTGCTCCCATATCATCCCATCAATCCGATGTGGTCTGCACAAATCCTTAGCTATCAGTCATCAGTCAGAATCAGAAGAGGAACTAGAGCTGCGTGCCGCAGCACTCCTCCGATCTTTAATTGCGGGCATCAGTTGCTGTCGAGGATCGCGGAAAGACGAAGAAGACTGCGACGGTTGCCTTCCCCTTGATCCTGGTCCTGCTGCTGAAGGTTTCTTGTTATTAGCAGCAGCCTTGGTAGCTGCCTCTTTCACCTCTCTGCAAACCTTGTCCAGGATTCCCAGGAAGTCACGGACGATGACGAACAGCCGCAGGCCCTCATCCTTCCCTGTGCTCCCGTGGAAGTAGTCCACAGTAGTGCGTACCAGCGCCCGTAGCTTCTTTTCCTCCTCCAGAAGCTGGGTCACACGCACCTGAGACTGCTCAATGAACTGGGCAAGCTTGCTATGGAACCCACTGTCCTCGTCCAAGCTCTTCATGCCCGTGTTCAAGAACTCATTTGCCTTCACCAACTTGTGCCCCAGGCTGGCCACCGAGATGGTCAGCGCATCAGCATCCAGGATTGCTGCCTTCCGCACGTTCTGTAGGTCATCTCCCAGGCTGGAAACAACGCCCAGGCCTAGCTGCTTGTAGTGCTCCGTGTCATCGCTGACGTCCTCAGTGAGGTCATCAGAAATCACGCTGGACATGCTGCTGTTGCTCTGCTCTTTGGCAGCCCGCACGGCACGCACGCCCTCTGAGCGAATGATCTCCTGGACAACAAAGTGAAGCAGTGTCGTCTTGCCATCGACCCCCTTCACGTCTGAGAGCTTCAGGAGGGTGTCCAGCTTGAATGCCTGGGCCCCGCCTCGAAAGGTGCCATCATTCATTCTGTTGCCAGTCTTGAGTACAGCCTCTAGCAGCTTCTTGAATAGACGGCTGTTCCGAAGCTCATGGCAGGCCACCTTTTTTCGACCAAAAAAAGTACAATCCAATAAAACTGTAAGCATTTTTTTCCATTGTTATCAGAAAGACCTTTTCTTCATTCTCTACAACTACATGATGTTCTCAATGTAATAGCTTAATAAGTACTACTACTACTACTGAAGCCACAATACCTCCAGGGTTTTAAACGACTGTTCTGCATTTGCAGCTTCTTCTGGTAAACTGGTCATGAAAAGCAACACATCCAGGCGCTGGTAGAGGTAAGGTATGTCAATGATGGTCCTCAAGAATTGTTCCGCGGGACCCAGTTGAGTGAGCTCTCCAGTGTACAGCCGAAGCCTTAGCTCCTCGTCGCTGGTTGGAGTCCACCTTATCAAGATTTGTATCAGATCAATGGGGAGTTCATGCCCTGCATCAATTTATATTTACCCATTAATTTAAGGTACATAGTTTCTGCTGAATACTGTATATAACACAGAAGAAGCCCGAAAGATGGTTGGTTTTACCTTCCATAACTGCATTACGTACTTCTTCAGCTGAAACACTCAATGCCTTTAGTGATATTGCTAAGTTCTGTGCCTTTTTAGCGTCGAGTATCCTTACAAATTGAGGGGTATCCTTTGCTGTTAAATCCTTTTTGCCGTCAGCATTTTTCTTGTCAGTAGCGTGACAACCAAAAAGGCTCTCGATCTCCGCCTCATTAAACCTATCAATCAATTGGTAAGTGGAAGAGTTAACATCACTGATTCACCTGATGTTACCAATCTTTGGTTAGTAGCAAGCAACCAATGAGATGTGTACAGTACAAATACAGCAACAATAATCATGTCATAGCTAGCTATGTTCAGGGAGATTGGAAAGCTCACTGGAAGGATGAAACTCTTTGCAAAAGAAGGGGAAAAAAGCTTACTGGAAGGATCCTGCTTTAATTTGATCCCACACCATTGCTTGATCCGGATTTGCAGTAACTTTATCCCAGAAGAATGGCTTCAGCTTTGTTTTATTGTCTACAGGAGGACCTGCAACATTCCCTGCCTTCTTCAACGGTGGCGGCCCACGCGCTTTTGGACCACCAGGCATTGCTGGTGGTGGAGGTCCAGCTCCAGCTCTACCTGGTGGTGGTGGAGGTCCGGGTCTGGCTCTACTTGGCGGTGGTGGAGGTCCGGGTCCGGCTGCAGGCCTTGGAGCAGGAGGCGGTGGTGGTCCTGGTGGAGGTGGATTGCTCGAACCAGCAGCTGTAGGCATCTTTGGAGGAGGTGGTGCTGGTGGTGCTGGTGCAGATGGTGCTGGTGCAGATGGTGCAGATGGCGGTGCAGGAGGAGGCTTTGGGAGAGGAGGACCTGGAGGTGGTGGTGGTGGTGGTCCTGGACCAGCTGCAGGTTCACCAGCGCTTTCGCTGGCATTACTAGAAGGAACAGCAGCAGGTTTCACATCCTGAGAATTAGTAAAGGCTGTCGGACGTCCAGCAATGGTGGTTATTTCATGAGAGCTTAGCTTCATCGCCTGCACATTGCTGCGTCGCTCAAACTCTGACTTCATTGACATTTCTCTAACTGCTGCCTTTATAGGAGGCATTTTAAATTCTTTACGCTGGGTCTCTGATGAATTGATTGACAATGCCCCCAACCTGTTGACATCAATTGGGGTAGAGCATGATTTACGCGAAGAACCTGTTGCAATAAGGAATAAGGCATGAATTGACAGGTAAAGCTGAGTGAGCATTCCTTTCTCTATCTTTTTTAGTGCAAAAGCATCCATGCAAGAGAGAAATTTGATGAACTGGGAAAAAAACAAAAGCAGCTTTGTTTTCTTTTGTAGCACCTGATAAATCACTCATATTCAAACTCAGCAGCGGTTTGTCATCATATGATAATTCTTGATCTTCGCTTCCACGACAAGCACAGCAGCACAGACCTATAAGAGCCACCAACGCTACACAAGCCACTGACAAACCAGCGATGATCGTGCCACTGTTGTCCTTGCTCTTGTGTTTGGGCTCTGTTTTACCAGACTTTTTCACAGTGGCGACTAGTGGGTGAGCCTCTGCTTCGGAAGACAAAACACTTCTTATTGTCTGTTTCGCTTTAGGTCGGGGTGGAGCAATGGCTGAATATTCTTCAAGTAGACGTCTTCTTTTCATTGCAAAAGGCAGGTTGATGCTGTTAGAGTTGGGAAGTAAGCTTCTGGTTTTCTCCTCCTGCTTCTGCAGCCCATGATCAGAGAAAGAGAAATTATGCTTGTTTAAGCAGTCCAGAAAAGTGTTGGCAACTTCTGCAGGTGATAAGGTTGCAGTGATTGCTTCCCCAATACCGATCTTTTGAGGAGAGGACTTCTTAACATTTTTTCTATATGAATTGCTGATGGTGTTGAATAGAAGGCTATAATGGGTCTTGTTTCTAACATCTTGAGGAATTCTCAAGTCTAGAGCACAACTGCACCACAGTTGTTCCACCTGTGTGTAAGCAATGTATGAGAAATAATGATTAGCAAGAAAGTGATTGAATTTTAGCTTCTGAATGTCTGATGGTGATGTAGGCATCAGTTAGTAGAAAGCAGGTGTTTCTCGCCTCTATAAAAGAAAATAAATATATTCATAGAAGTATTTTAAGGAAAGTGTCTACTCTAAGTGACAGACAGACACTGAATTACTACTTCGATTTAGACTGCGCAATTCTTATTTCCATGACCTGTGTGTACTGGTGTTTCATAATTTCCTATTTTCTCTATCCCTGCACAATTTACCTAAGGGAAACAGCATACCAACTGCAGAACTTGGGATACAACATTACAAGGACATAACACACAGGTGCTACATGAATGCAAAGCATCATGAACTTGGTCATTACCGATTCATCTTCTCTTGGGATTGCAGGAGACGGCAGGCAAGCTGGTGGCCAGAACAAGTTTGTCCTGATCGCACCAACGAGCTGCAGCAGCAGACAAATGAGGCATGCGCTGAGGAGCCATCTGAATTTGCTCCTCGGCCACCTCATCTTGTAATCCTATAGTATTTGCTTGCTTGCACAGCTTAAGGAATCACCAAATTAACCGGCCATTGCTACCTCCCCCAATAGGGATTCCTCCCCTGGTACTCCTCACCTCGAGTTGGACGTTAATCAATGTTTATTAGACCCAAATGTTGGCCCAAAATTGAAATTGTGATACAGTTCTGTGACACAAGATTGGTCCTTCTGGTTGGATCTGGATGCCTCTGCATGTCGGACGACATATCCGCCACAAACGCAAGACGAGACATGGAGATGATAATACCGATCAGAATAAATTCCAAAAACCGAATCAGATTTCATCCATCGGGGAAGAAAAGAAATAGAGGAAAAACCTGCGATTCTTGGCGGCCGCGGACCAATTTCCCCGGAAAATAATAATTGGGCCGCCACCAATCTAGGAGCACCCGCAGGAGCATGATACAGGACAGGGACGGGAAAGCAAAAAAGAGTAATTTCTTTGGCATTGTTGATGTCTTGATCCTCCGCTCCCAACCTTGGCTTCTATTTTTGGGTGGGGAATGCGTACTCGAGTGCTTCCTGTCAGCAGAGGCGAGAGAGATGAAACGAGAGGTAGCCCTCGATGTCAGGAGCAGACAGCATTTTCAGCAGCACGTTTATGGTCCCAGTTGGAAATATACCATGGTGTGGGTTTTGTTTTCCAAAATATTTCATAAATTATAATTACGTATTAGGTTTCATCGTTTTAAAATGGCATTTAGGAATACCAATCCTATTTTATCCCAAACTCCGTCCGACCGCCACCCTTTCGTTTTTGTTTGGGTTTGGTGATCTTTTATGGGAAAAAGTTGAGCCTGATGAGGAGAGCCTCTTCTGCTTCACATTTTGTATGAACCTGATTCTCTGATAGAAAATGTTTCCATATGATTCTCTAGAAAAACTTTATGCATATTATGACTCTATCTACGAAGTGAATCAGGAGAAGCTATTTTTTCCCGACTATCAGTGTTTATCTCATTTCATAAAATCACTTCACAGCGTCAGCATAGAATCATTGCTCATTAAGAAATTATTTGACGAAGCTCCTTCTGAATTTAGCCTAGAAGCTGCTCTGAGAGTTTTGCCAAACAAACCATAGTTTCTTGAGTCTATTAATGTTTTGTTTCACAGGAGTGGCCTCATATGAATTTTGAACATGTTATACTGCTCTTTCATATGCACGATTCAAAATATAGATCTTCTTACGACGCAACTAGCGCCCGGACGCCCGGCTTTAGGGGCACGTCCGGATGCACCTAGTCCACATAACGTTTTGATCCCAACCGTGGCTCGTCCTCCGCCGCTGCCCACGGGACCACCTATTCGATGCGAATAGAACGAGCATGCCCCCGCGTCTGAAAACGAGCGTGCCCCCACGTGTGGCCCGTCCACCGCTGCGCCGCCATGCCTCGTCGCGTCGCCATCCCCCGCCGTGCTGCCGCCCCCTGCGCGCCCGTTGCCCTCCACGGCCCATCCCCACCGTGCTCTATCACCTTGCAACATGGAGCAATACGAGATGCAAACATCAGAAGTATTACTTGTTTGCAACATCAGAACAAGTCTATTGCAACATTAGAACAAGGCCACTGCAACAACGGAATAAAGCTACTGCAATGCGAGATGCAAGATCAGAAAAAATGAGACTAATGCAACAAAGAAATATTACTTGTTGTAAGATCAGAACAAGGCTACTGCAACAGCAGAACAAAGCGCAATGCGAGAAAGCAACATCAAGAAAAAAAGACTAATGCAACAAAGAAATATTACTTATTGCAACATCAGAACAAGGCTGCTGCAATGCGAGATGCAACATCAGAAATAAAAAAAGAGACTAATGCAACAAAGAAATATTACTTGTTGCAACAGCAAAACAAGGCTACTGCAACAGAACTCGCCGGAACCCTATCCACCACTGCATCCCTCAGATCCAGAGGAGGAGGAGGCTCAGATCCAGAGTTGGAGGAGGAGGAGCGCTAAAACGATCTCCATTTCCACGAAGGGAAATCCACAGATACGAAGTATAACGTGATAGTCTCAAGCGATCATTCCATCACATTATCTAATAACAGTCGATATCACGGTCATACATCGAATACCTATTTTAAAGAGAGTACAAATAGCAAGGTTTACTCATTATTACATCGCCACTTGGCGGAATCACTCAGAGCATGCAGCAACGGGAACAACATCAAGTAGTACGGCAGCGGGCATCGACTCTATCTTTATGAACCAAACTCGAGCGTAGGAACAAGACCTCTAATCCTCCCAACCATCTTCCTAGAAGTCGTACTCAGACTCGGAACCTGCCAAACAATTATCAATATGATTTATACTAGCCACTGACTCCTACCCTATGCTTTGCGTTTGCTTTGTGGTAGTGGAATGCAAGGGTAGAGTAAAAGACCTATTTGTGGATGTAGTTTCCTATGCGAGTATGTCAAGTTTTAATAATAATTCATCAAGTTTTAACCCATCTCAATCACACGTTCACCCATCCCATCACACACATCTCACCACTCTCACACCCTCTAAACGACAAGGACGACTTCCTCTCATACCTTGCCTCATCGGCCAAAGCCGAAATCCAACACAAGAACCCAGGGAGGAGAAGAAAGGACTCCACTCACTAATCAAGGGAAGCGTAGGTCATAGGAATGTCCATATCCGAGGACTCGGCTATACGTATAGATCGATCAACACTATAGAGCGTGTACACCTGGAAATCCACAAGATCGCCATCATCAGCGCGTGCACCGCCTAGGTTGATACCAGGCTGTCTTCCAAACTAGTGAGATACCACCCTGCCACTCAGCCCTAGGCCACCCTAGAGTCCACCGGCACGCTGAGACTGTGAGACGTAGTACCAGGCCCCCGAAGGTCACTATGTTGTCTTAGGAGGGTGTGGGTTACACGCCTGTACCTCCCTACACTATCCGTTAACATCCCAATAGTAGTGGCATCGCCCTAGCAGGTCAACATCTGTCCCCCACCCAAACAGGGACGAGTGGTGTGTACGAAGGGTCCTATGATCCGATTCTCTCGACATACCAGTTCTTAGAGGATTCAACAAGGCTATAAGAGTCACCCTCGTGAACTACCACCGATCCAGAATACAAGATGCATTCACAAGTAACCAGAGTCTAAGCACTATGCTTACACTATAATTACTATTTTACTCTTCCCGGATAAAGAATAAAGCACTCAAACATGTTGTGAACCTGATGAATAATATAAACAAGAAGCTTACTTGAATTAGAAGTTAATTACCAGAGAAATCTTAGAGGCAAGCTCAGATAGAACTTGGATCCGCCAAGGTACAAGCCGTAGAGAGAGCACCGACAGGCCGATGCCTCCTCCAAACTCTTCCCTCACTCTCTATCTCACTATTTCTATTTATAAGACTAGATCATATGGAGGACTAATCTTCTCTTAATAGCTGGCTCTGATCCTGACGAGGAGAACATGGATTAGGGTTTTAGAATGGCTCCAGGGAGGGGTAGGGGCTGCTATATATAGGCCAAGGTGGAGTAGGGGGTAAGGAAGCGAGGTAAAGTAGGGGGCAAGGAATCGAGGGGAGTAGGGGGCAAGGAATCTCTACGTCATCGATCCGCGTCAACTTCCTCGATCATCGTTGGATGAACCGACCTAAAACCGCCTAAAAATCAACGGTGTAGATTGTAGGAAGGAGTACGATGCGGCGGAGGGCGAACAGGCTCCGTGGCAGGCAGGCCGGCCTATGGGCTGGGCCAGTCGGCCCACTTTCGTGGCCGTTTGGCCCAAGCTTCATTGTGATGTCTTCTAAAACCTTCTAGAATTGCATTCGCAGTTTTAGCGGGTTGAATCACTTGTTGTCGTCGGTTTGCTTGTTTGGAGTATATGACAGTGGTCCCGGGAGCTGTTGTGTGGATAAATCCTACTGCATACAAATATTTACCAAAGCTCGTGGAATTTATTAGTTTAAACCCCTATACCTATGTTTGGTGATGGAATTAAATATAAATACAGGTTATGTTGATGGTTTATAATTGATGTTAGTGACCGTCAGCATCCATTAACCGAGGCAGCCTCATTTAGACGATCGCCTCCGTTAATGGAGTATTAACGGAGGCGGACATCTTAAGCCATCTGCCTCGGTAAATCGATTAACGGAGGCGGTTCTGCTAAGGCGTCCACCTCCGTTAATCTCTTCCTATAAATGCAGCCCTCAACCACCCCATCTTCTTCCTTCTTGAGCTCAACCTCTCTATTTGACGTGGGTTGAGCTCTAAAACTTCGAAAATTCACCATTTTTGGTGGGGAGGAGTTTTGCTCTTGGGTTCCTTGAAGGAGGCGAGGACACCGTAGGAGGTTGCTATGCACTCCCACATCTTTATTCTGCTCTCTTTTTCAAGTTTTGGGTGATCTAGAACTAGAACTAGATGGAGGAGAGAAAAACGGATCTGGTTCTTCATTTGCTTGAATTTCTTCGTAATATTGCTATACTTATTCCTTGTTCGCTAGGTGTGTAAGGTTAGGTGGCATGCATGAAAGGTTAGAATGGATATACCGAGGCTATCACAACCCTTCATAGATCAGGTGAAAAAGTTTGTTGACACTCCTCGAAAGCATACTCTGAGTGTGAATCGACAGACAGGAATCATACGTCGATGCAACCTCTGATCTATTGTGGGTAAACTTCTACTTGATTAGTCAGAACTTCTCTGTCTCAACTCGTGGACCTATCTATCTTCTTCTTTATAAGAGATAGGGGTTTGCTATTCTCACGGATTGGCTTGTCCTAGAAGGCGGCGAGGTGCAATCTCACTTGATCAAGTGGCAAGTGGGGTTTCGTCGAGGAATACACATGGTCTTGAGGTTTCATGGTGAACAAGATGATGCGAGTGGCGGTGCTTCTGGAGAAAACTCGTCGTCGACTACAGGGCAGTGAATGCAGACCATGACAGAGGACCCTCATCATAGTAGACTAGATAGCAGAGATTCAGGATCCG